AAGGTGTTACAGGTTTGGGGAAGTGTCATCATCAAATTGAAATTCAGGAAATTGCTCTGATCTAAAAGGATTTGGATTGAAAAGGAAGAGCCCACAGAGCCGGGGAAGCAGTCATTCGGCTCTCGTAACGGCAGAGTGCTGCTCGGAGCTAAAGCAGCGGCCACAGCCGTGGAGATGGAGAAGCCGTAGAGAGCTGAAGCTATAGGGTGTGATGGGAGAGAATGGTGAGTCAGCCCAGGGATGCAGGAAGACTGCTCTCTCACCGTTGAGTGATTGTATGGTGGTGCTCTTTCCACCACAGCATGGGGAAGCCACAGGTTTTGAGGGGCGCAAAAGGTGCAGAGCCCAGATTTAGATGGATATTCAAGTCTGAAATGTTTGCATTTAGCTAATAGAAAGTATAGTTGCCATTTATCATCCATGTGTCATCTCTACCAGCCATTGTCTGTGTTGCTTACCTGTATCAACTCATTTTGTCCTCACTTTCTTATTCGAAAATGCTGTTAGCAGCCACATTTTACAGAGTAATAAACTGAGTCACAGACAATGTAAATAACACTCCCAAAGTCACATGGCTGGCAAATGCAGGCATAGAGATTTTTTTAGTCTCAGCATACAAATGGTAGCTGGAATCAAGGGAGTCTTTAAGGGTTCCCCTGGAAATCACATAGAAACAATACAACCACAAATGCAACTCTGGGGAGACAGTGGCGTTAAAACTATGCAGGAAAGGGGGCTATGGAAAGAGACTGGGAAGGCAATATCGGTGAATGTGTACAAAGGGAAAAATTTCAGAATACTCAATTGAAACAATCTAAATACTAGCAGTGGGAAATTTTTTCTTATTAGATTATAGCATAGTCCATACCATGAATTGTAGTACAGCCTCTTTTTAAAACTGATGTTCCAGGACAAATATTATTGACTAAATCAAAATATGTGACATGTTATATAAAAACAAAAGCAGGATGCAAATAGTAGGAATTCATTTTATTTCTGAAATGTATGTGTAAAGGGTGAAAATTGTATATGTTTAATGACAGAGACACCTGGAAGAAATCACAGAAATACGTTAACAGTGTCCACCCAAGTTTATGTGCAATTTTAAGAAGTATATCCAATGAATACGTATGTTGAAAGGGGTGACATTTAGGTGGGTTGGCAGCCGGTGGCTGGAGAAGCTGAACGGGCGGGCCCTAACTGGGGAAGGAAGATGGTGCCTCTAACCGTTTGTGTCTAACTGATGAAGCTACAGGGAAGAGAAGGCGGAGGTGAAGTTGAATGGTGGGCCTGCTGGCATGGCTGGGACGTGGATTAGGACCTGGTGCCTTCCCCGGTCTGCAGTCCAGGCCTGTGGCTGGGGTTGCATCCACTCCATTTTCCTCCTTTTGTCTGTGTTGGTTTGGGTCCTGTCTTAGCCCGAAGACCAAGTGACCAAGAATTCTTCCCTGTCGGTGCGAAGACTAGTTGTTCCTTATTGTTTCTTGCTTTTAAGATGGAGGAAAATAATTTCAGCTTCTCACAGAGGGCTTCGAAATCTTGTCATGGAGAGCGCTGGGTCACCTCAAGCTGGTAGCTGGTGTGCAACCTGCTTGCTAATAAACCAAAGCAGGACCCCGGTGTCAGAACGCTTACACTGGTCAGATCGACTGAGACCCCGTTTCTGCGTTTGACATGCCTTTCCCATTTCCAAGCCGCGCGCGCATCATAACCCTGAGTCAGGAGGTAGTTCAGTGTGAGCTCCTATAAACTGGAGTGGGCGTCTAGGGACTGGGGAGTGGACACTTCTTCTTTTAACCTTTGAAGGCCAAAAATCATTTGGCTAAAAATCCACAACATATTGAACTTCGAGTGGAAAAGCCCGTACAGTGTATTAAATGTGAATTTGAGACCGTGAATTCTCTCTGCACTGACTCTATAAAACAGCCTCCCTTTTTTCATAAAGCAGGCCCATAAACCGCTGCCAGCGAAGCAGAAAGACTTCTCAGGACTGTGGCTTGCCTTCCGTCTGGGGTTGTCAACAAACCCCCTTTATGAGCGGAATAGACTTCTTGTATGTGTCGAGCTTCTGGCTTTTTACAGAGTGTGTTCGGAGCCAGGCTAGGCAAACGTTGGGCGCTGTTTGCTGAGTGCATTTATTGCCTTTGCATAATTTATGAGCTGGAGGGTTTGACCATCATTCGTCTCTGCCAGGGGCTGGCACTCGAGGCTCCAGAGAGCGGAGCTGTAAATTGGATGGTGCGCTCCTGCTGAGCTCACGGCAAAGTCCTCGGGTCAGTATGGGAATTTAATACCAGAAATGGAACTGTTTTCTCAGCGCACCATGTGGGCCCCGGTGCAGCAGAGACTGTTTTGGCAGACTCTGCGACTGGCCTTGTCGAGGAGCTGTCACTCACCCGGCATGTTGTGTGGGGAGCCTGAGCATTTTTAATCGGCTTGGCATCCGTGCTGCTTCCATAATGGATACCAGTAGGTCTCAGTTCTTCACCATATGCTTAACTCTGGAGACAAGGTGCTTCTGGGTATATCAGTAATTACTTGATGCAGAATTAAGTGGACCTTGAAATTAGAACTGGACTGTTGGAAAGCAGGAAGCTTAACACTTTGATAGAAATAACCATTCCGGGGGACATACTGCTGTTAGGGGGGGGCGGGGGCGCTGGTTCTTTCCCGATTTCCGCCCTCCACCTCCCCGCACACAGACCCTTGGGGATGTGGGCAACTGCTATGCCACAGCCTTCAGCTGTCATTGATTACCTCACAAGGAGAGCTGTGAACATCTGGGAGAATGAGGCTGCCTGGCGAAAGGCTCTTCTGTCTTCTGCACTCCTCCTGAACTGCGCTTTGTCACTCTTGAAAACACGCCCAGAACTTAGGAAGCTCAAGGAGGGCTTAATTAAAGGCAATGGAGGGACCACACGGCCAGGAGAACAGTGCTCCTCTCCCATCTGCTGTTCTAGGCCTTCAAAGTCTTCATCTCACCCATCTTCTTTCTCAACTCATTCGACTTCCTGAAATAGAAGAATCGCTAGTTAGGCAAAAGAGTGTAAAATTAGACCATCTGAGGTTGGAAGCTTGGTGCGAAGAGATGCAGTTATACTTCTTGAAACCACTGGCACGCAGTATCTAATAACTCCATGGCACAGGGAGCAAGAGGGAAAAGTAGAAAATGCTGTAACCCTCTTGTCTACAAAATTGCAATTGAAGTTCCTGAATGCTTATGGTTCAGAGTACTTAGTCTGGAAAGAGGAAGCAATCTCCACACTGTGTCTTACAATAGCAGGCTATCCATTTGGAGGAGGCTTTTGTTACCGTCCCTTGAAAGCACTCCAATAGTAATTTAAACAGTAAGATAACTTCCTCTGTTCTGAAGAAAGCAGTCTAGAGGCAGGATGCTCTGAGATGGGTTCACTGGCTCGATTACCCGTGACCCTTCATCCTTTGCCCCACCATCTTGCTTTTGTACTTAGGCTGTTTTGCCAGAGTTTGGCAAGATGGCTGCGACAGGTCCAGACACCACATCCTCACAGAGTGATGTTACAGAGAAACAGGCAAGCTTCCTGCCTTTCTTCTTTCATTTCATACAGAGAATTGTTCTCTAGAACCCTCAGTAGATTTCAGATCTCATTGTCCAAAAATGGGTCTAATGGATACCAAAAGCTGTAGGAAAAACTTGGGACAGAGAATATGTGCCTTTCTCATCCTCAGAGTGTCAGGAGAGTGTACAGACGAGGGAGAGAGAGGTGTCAACAGCTCTGGGTATCTATCCAGCAGTGAGTGGCTTCCTAGCAAGAAAATTTATTTTCCATTTTTGATCACAGCTATATAGACTCCAAGACCAGGTGGCCACACTAAAAAACTTGGCATCCTCCTAGAGTCATCCCTGCCGCTTCCTTCCATATCCTCCGTTATCAACTCCTATTGGTTCCCCCTTCCAAAATGCTCTGCCATCTGTTTCTCCCTTTCCAAAACTAGGCACTATCCTGGTGTAGATGGTGTAATGATTGCCCAACTGCTCTCCCTGTGACCTCCTTCCCCATTGTGTGCTCTGGCCCCTCCCCACAGAAAGAGTCATCTCCGCGGAATACGGTCTGACCATGCCGTACCCCTGCTCAGTCGTTTGTGTTTAACCTTGTATCTCTCGCTAAACAGAAAGCTGGCTGAGGATGGGTCCCGTACCTCGGCTGATTATCTGTCTACCTAAGCGACGCCTTCTCCAGGGCTGTTGAGGGGATGAATGGATACATTTATCTGCTGAGCATTTTCTCTTTTAAAGCATAGCCCCCATTTTTAACATAACATTGATTAACCGGATGTTCTTGGGATTTCATAGAAATTTTTTTTCCCTTTTCTTCGTTGAGGAACCCACTCTGTGAGTTGTCACGCTGTGGTTACCCCAAACCCAGCTTGGACTTTAGGATTTGTAAGGGTATTGGGTCTACTGCCGTAAAGCATATATATTTTTTACCCATATTGCTGATCTATTACCCTACCACTTACTGTGGCGTGTTCTCTGTAGGGAATGGTCCTTCTGTTCTCAGGCACCACAAGCTGTAACCCCTGCCAGTTATGTTGCTTCCTTCCGAGTCCAAGTGAGAGAATGCACTGCCCAAAGGTTTACCTCCTGTCCTTTAGAGAAGCTCCAGAGAGATACAGCCTCTCACAAAAGCTAAAGATGGAGCCATGCAAGGCTCTTGGTCACCTTCACCCCGTGCAGTGGGAGCTCCTCCACGAGTGTGCTCTCTGCATGCAGTGGCGGCGCTCATTTGTGTGACTGAGCATCTTGCTGCCCCGACCCCAGGAAGAAAACAGGGTGCAGGCAGCAGGTGATTCAACAGAACAACCTGCACTTCTGATGCTGTGTGCTAGCGTTGAGCTGAAGACACTTTCCGGCTCGGACATCTCCTGTTTACTTGCCTTGCCCTGTTTGGAAAGGTGGGGATCAAAAGCAAAAGCATAACGGTAACAACTGACGTCTGCTCTCTTCTTTTCATTTGCAGTGTGACAGTGACAGTGACCAGGAAGAAAAGGTAAGACTCCCCGCCTTCACTCTGGTGCAGCACACAGCACACCTTGATCACAATGGTCCTCTCACATGGGGCTGTGGTGTAGGCTGCCAGCTTCATGTCTAAAGTGCTTTTTCTCTTCCAAAAGATGAACATTATCCACACAGTGACATGTTCTGTGCTAAGACGGAACATGTTTACCTTATGAGATCCACTATTTTTTAAACAAGCCCTTTAACCACACACATGTGATACTGAGCTTTCACTATGTGGAAGATGACTTACTGACCCCAAACAACATTTTTAAAGAGGAAATTATTTTTTAAGCCATGACGGGGACATGAAACTTACTACTATGTATTTATGTTGTCATTTCTACCTTCCTTTTACTGACCTAGTGGCTTTCTCCTGCCTTTGTGTACCCATCAACCTTCTAAATAGAAATGTTTCCAGGAATCTCACCTGGGCTGGGGGTGGCCAGGGGAGGTCAGGTGGGAGCTCCTTGGTGGGACAGCAGTTCTTCCAGCAGGTACATCCTCTGTTTCAAGGCTGATGGCCTCCAGTTCCATGTGGATCAAGATAAGAAGCTCAATTTCTGGGCTTCCAGAAGATCGGATCATAACCTGGTAAAGTGAGCTTTCCGCTGCCTGCAGCAAAGGGATTGTGTGTTTGGTCATTCTTTCTAGCTATGTGATTCTACCAACTAAATTTCTTTCTACTTTTATTGCTGTTTATGTATTTTGAAACCAGTTGCCTTAATATCATGCTTTGTAAATGCTTGGTGCCAGAAGGATACACTGCTCCTTCCTTCCCCCATTTCTGAATCTGTCCTGGTCCCGGTTCTTGACGTTCACCTCCTACATGATTGTGCATTATACTCAGGATCCTGTGGTTAGTATTTAGTGAGTTCTTTCCATTAAACCTAGAGTTTTTTCCTCCTTCTCTGCTGCCTGTCTCCAAGAGAGATCTAAAGGCTCTTGTTCTGTACTGTCGTTAATTTGAATTCAGCATATGTAGCCTGTTATAAAATGCGAGACATCATCATTTGAGCAGGTCAAGCATATTCAGATGAAGACAAATGGTGCTTATTTGATTTCCTTAAAATCAGGAAATGAAAAAAGTGCTCTCTGGAGAAATCATGTTCTGCCTGACTTGGATGATAGACCAATGCATGTCCCCCAGATAAGAACAGGCTCTCGCCTTGAGGTTTTTATCTCTGAAGGACGGCCAGGACTGTCAGCTTGCTGACATGTGCATTATCCATGTCATTTTAAACAAAGTGACCTATGGAAGGGTGCGCTGTGCTGTGACATGGTAATGGGCTGTTGGATGACAGCGAAAGTACACACTGGGAAGGGGGCTGTGGATTATTCTTTTGTTTAACTGACAAGTAGGAGCTTCCTTCCTCCAGCCCCCAGGAGCCCTAGCTCCTTACAAGTAGAACCCCAGGTGTCTCAGGAAGTCAGTGTGCCGTGGGTGCCAGGGTCCAGGGACAGTAGTTGTGGTTCCACAACAGAGGTATTGTCACTGGCCCCCTGAGCTCCCCAGCTCACACTCACACACACACATACACACACACCAGTCACCTTCTCATTCTGTTGGGCCTCTCTGGAACCCAGGGAGGGACTCGAACCTTCTGGCCATTCCAGGAGATCCACAGGCAAAGGCTGATCCCAGTTTCCAAGCCTGGCCTTTCTCTAAGAGGATGGGTCTGATTCAGGGTTTCAACAACAAGCAGACGTCTTTCTTTAAAAGGAAATGTGAATTCCAAAAACATCACTCATCTGCAGCAGTGGCAGAAGATGGTGAGGCTGCCCATTTTGCATTCCTTGTAGTACCTTGGCCAGTGACCACAGCCTTGGCGACACACCCAAGTCCCTTGGGGAGCTGCTTGCTCCACGGACCAATGCCTGAGCTGCACCTCTGGTCGCTTACTTCAGAGTTCCTGGGGACCTCAGCCACCACTAGATGATCACCTCACTCGCAATTTCTAGAATTCAGCTGCTGTATTGTCAGAGGGATCTAGAGGCCAAGGTGCTTCTCACATGGCACCCCAACTAAACCTTTCCTGTAACCTGAACTCCCGAGTCACTGTTGCTCAGGTCCCCATCTCCGAGTGCAAGAAGAAGCAAAGCCTCCGACAGGATGAACGATGAGGGGTGGAGAGGTAGCTCATACCAACCATGCAGAGTTGGAGATGGCGACAGGCCAGTAACAGAGGGACGGAGGAGGCGAACCCAGGCGTGGCAGTGACGGGAAGACGTGGGTGTCAGGCGCGATCCTCTGGTGCCTGCTCACTTTCTGCCTCGGTCCCCCGGCCATTTTCCCTTGCACCTTGGCCATCCTGCAGGTCGTCTTCACACGGAGCCCCACCACAACCAGCAGTCTTGTCAGCTGTCCTTGTTGTGCCACACGGCATTTCTCCAGAGGGCTCCCAGCAGGAGCAATCAAGCCTCGGTAATTGCAGTCGTGCCTGCTTGGGCCTGCTGTAGTTAAGACTGTCAGGCTTCCCCTCTTGGACTGAGACTGTCTACTGTCTATCACCTACTCGAACACCACCTTCTGAGACTGCCCTGCCTGAGCGCAGGCCCCTGTCAGCCTCCTGTGTGCGGGAGCCTCTTGCCTGTGCCCCCTTGGACCCCCTGTGCTAACCAAGGCTGCTTTCCTGTGCTGCTTGGAGGATTCGCATTCAAATCTGAATTGCTAATGGCAGAATCGATGCCACTCCGTGTCCTGGGATCCCTTCAGCAAGCCCCACCAGGGATCCTGCCAGAGTCAAAAGTGAGACTTGTGGGGACCCACTGGGATTTCTCTCCGGAAGACCTGTCATTCTCTTTCTCCGTAGGGATCCGCAGTACCAGCGGGCTAAAATTAGGGTACTGTATTTCACACAGCTGACTGAATTAAGATAAACTCTGCTTTCCTCTGATGCGAAGCTGTAATTTATAAAATGATACCCTTACTAATTAATGTGGAAGTGACTGGGAAAGGGGCTAAAAAAGGAGAGTTTTCCCTAATGCGGGAAACAGACTTGGGCCGGAAAAGGCTTGGATGAGACCCTGAGCCAAGCATCGCCCTGGCCCTCCGCTCCCAGCCATGTGAGTACATTTCCTATTAAAGTCAGGGAAGCTGGAGGACTTGTGTGAAGAGTAGAAATTGGGTGGGGAATTAGAGGAGGCCGTGAACACTCTGCATCTCAGGTGTGGGATTGTTCTTTGTAGTTAGAGCAAAGAAAAGAGGCAGCACTTGGCACCTTAATCACCCAAATTAAGCAATTATTCCAGTCCCCCGCTCGAAATGAATTGGTATCATGAGAACAAAGAGGCAACATGCATATTTCCGCATATTTGGCCTATATTTTCTTTTGTTTCTTCACTTTCTCTACCACTGGCAGCAGCCCACTATGCTAAGCAACACCCCTATTTGGTTATGAAGTTAATGTAGAGATTAAAAATAATTCTCTCTCCAAGGACTTGCTTCCTTTTTATTGTGTGCCAGAGCCAGCTGAAAAGCATAGCACCCTGGGTCAGGCCCTCGGGCCTTAGAGTCTGATGCCCCAGGCTTATTTCTGACTGTGGCCCTTAGTATTTTGTTGCAGAGCACGAAACCTCAATTTTCCTCATCTGCCAGAACTTCACCGGTGCTCTTGGGAGAAGGAAATGAAGGCACCTCATTCAATACCTGCTCCATAGAAAATGCTCAGTGAATGTCACTTCGGATGAAATGACAGAGAATCACTTGGGAGGAGGAGGAGGCTGACACCCTCTTCGGAAAGCTCTGGCTATGCTGGAGAACCTGCCAGAGGGTTCCACCAGCACCGGAAGCTCAGCCGTCACCCCCAAGGACACTCCTACCTGGTACAGGCCAGACAGAAGGGTTAAATTTTGAAGGGTCCCCCAATGATATGTTTTAAGCCCCTTACCCGAACATCAGGCTTTCCTCTGAGCATAACTTGGAGCAAGTGTGCTGACCTACCAGGACTCGGTCGTGACTGAGTGAGTTGTGCGGGATCTGTCCCTTCAGCATCTGTTCCCAAGTGCCAGGCACTGCCGGCTCCCAGGAGAAAGCTCTGACTCAGTACTTGCTGTTCGAGAGTGTGTCCAAGGATCTGCAGTTTTAAAAAGACTTTCCTAGGTACTATTTTGGTATACAAATGATTTTTAAGACTCAATATCCTACAAATGCCAGAAAGAAACGTTTCTTCCCCCATATTTACTGCTTTTGAAATTTTCACTGTTTAACAGAAGGATTGGAAAGCTGTAGAGATGTTACATGCATGTTGACGTGCTATACATGTTGATGTATGTAGATATCTGGTATAAACATGCATGCAGTCCACACCTACACAGGCACACAGAAAAGAACCTTTCTCCTTTGCCTAAGAAAGCTTTAAACGTGGTTCATAACTACAGGGTCCCTTACCCCCTGTCCCCTGTCTGGTCAGTGCAGTAGAGATAACCACCTGGAAAATAGTCGCTGGCTTCAGGGGCTTTTCTGTCGGGCACCCAAGGGACCCCCTGGGACACTGGCTAACTTTGGATGCAGTGTCATTGTTTCCCACATCCGTTCTCCCACCACTCACATGCGTATATTTTTTGATTCATTCTTACTTTTTAATTCGTGGTGCAATTTGTTGTGTTTCATGGTGCTGTGCTCACTTGTGTGAGAAAGTGGCAGCTTCTAAGAAAAGCAGCAAAGAAAACCAGCAGAAGCTTATATTCCTAACTCAACACAAACCACATGCCTAACTTGGCTCAGGAAGGACTCAGAAACTGCTGAGATGTCAAACTGAAGATTGGGCATGTGGCTTGTGCTTATAGTGGAAGAGCCTCGTCCCTTGATGGGCCAGGTTTCACACTTGGTAAAGTTTGTGCACCCTCAGCAACATTCCAGAAGCACAGAAGGTTCTCAGTGTTGTTTGTGGAAGCCCATCCTTGGTTTTAAAATAAGACCTGTTCTGGTTAGGAGACAATTTAGAGTGCTGTCCTATTTTACAGCTAGAAAAGGAAGTTTTTCCACCTTTC